TCCTTAGTTTCTGAACTTGTTGTTTTAATGATGATATGTTGTGGGGTAGTTCTATTTTGATCTGGTCTGTTTGGTGTCCTGGAGGCCTCTTGCATCTGTATGGGAATATCTTTCTCTAGATTTGGGAAATTTTCCGTTATTATTTTGTTGAATATATTATGCATTCCCTTCACTTGCACCTCTTCTCCTTCTTCGATGCCCATGATTCTCAAGTTTGGTCTTTTGATGGAGTCGGTGAGTTCTTGCATTTTCTTTTCACAGGTCTTGAGTTGTTTAATTAATAGTTTTTTGGTTTTTCCTTTAATTACCATTTCATCTTCAAGTTCTGAGATTCTGTCTTCTGTTTGTTCTATTCTGCTGGATTGGCCTTCCGTTTTGTTTTGCAGTTCTGTTTCATTCTTTTTTCTGAGGTTTTCCATATCCTGGCTGTTTTCCTCTTTTATGTTGTCTATTTTTGTCCTGAGTTCATTTATCTGTTTATTCATCATGTTCTCTCTTTCACTTTGGTGTTTATACAGTGCTTCTATGGTTTCCTTTATTTCTTCTTTTGCTTTTTCAAATTCTCTATTTTTGTTGTCTTGGAATTTCTTGAGTGTCTCCTGTACATTTTGGTTGACCCTATCCAGTATCATCTCTATAAAATTCTCATTGAGTACCTGTAGTATGTCTTCTTTTAAATTATTCTTGTGGGCTTCATTGGGTCCTTTGGCATAGTTTATCTTCATTTTGTTGGAGTCTGGATCTGAGTACCTGTTTTCTTCATTCCCCTCTGGTTCCTGTACTAATTTTTGCTGTGGGGAAACTGGTTTCCCTGTTTTTTCTGTCTTCCCATCATTGTCTTTGGTGTTGTTACTGTCCCTGTACTGTGTGCAATTAAGTATTTTCTAGCTTGTAATAATAGCAATGGTAATATTTAGAATGGAAGGATGAGCTGAGATGGAAAGCAAGAAGTTAAAGAAATGGGAAAAACAAATACACAGACGGAGGAGAAAACAGAACAAGGTATCAGACAAGAAGTTTCAAAGGTATAAACAGGGAGCTTTAGTGTACTAATCGACAGTAAGCTGAACAGACATTAGAGAGACAGAGAGAGGATTGAAAATCAAAATAAAAAAAAAGTAAGAATAAAAATAAAAAATAAGTAAATGAAAGAAAAATGTATTTATAAAAATGTATTAAAATAAAATGAAAAATAGAAAATTAAAAAAAACCAAAAAACCAAAAAACCTCCAAGTTCAAATGCAGTGAAGTCACAGTCTCCAATCCTGGAGATGGTGCCTCAGATGTTGTTCTGTAGTTGTCTCATCAAAGGGGACGCATAAAGAAGAACAAAACTACACACACATGCACAAAAATAACCCCACCAAGTGTCCCAAGTTCAAATGCAATACAGTTTCAGTAAGTTTTTCAGCTTGCAGGTGTAATTCGGTTGTTCTCTCATCAAAGGTAGGGAGAAAAAAAAAAAAAAGAGTCTGGAGACAGTTCTGAGAATGGTTTCTGCAACTGTGGCTTGCCTGCCCACTGTTGTCAGCCTGCTGTTGCTGGAGGCGTTATTTATGCAGATCTCTGGGGTGAGCTAGCACTCACCTGGCCCCTCAGGCTTTGTTGCTCAGATTTCTCCTGTGCATGAGCCTCTTACAAGCTTTCCCCTTTCCAAGCACTGGGGAAGGTGACACTGCACCCGTGTTGTCAGACCTGCATGTTTATTTACAGTTCATGAGGAAGGTGGGTCTTCTCCCCTCTCCTGTGAAGTTCTCCTCCCACCGCCACTTTCACAAGCTTTCCTGCTCCTGGTTACTGGGCAGTGCTGCTGCTCCTGCCAGCCGCTATGTTTGTTTACAGTTCATGTGGGAAGACCTCTCCTGTGGAGTTTTCCTCCCTCCGCCACTCTCACCAGCTTTCCCGCTCCTGGTTGCTGGGCGCACGCCCCCACTCCTGCCAGAGCCTCTCTGGCCCTCCCGGCTTGTTTATTTACAGTCCCGGGAAGGATTCCCTTCCCCCAATCTTCGGCGCTCAGGGCGCCCCACCCTCTTTCCTGCATGTCTTATTTGTTCTTATTGCTTATTACTCAGTTTCTCTTTTTTCCTGGGGTGGAGGTCACTCTGTCCAGGGGGCTATGCTGCTCTGGCCCAGGCTTGTCTGTGGGAGTACCGCGGTACCATGAAGCTCACCTGGTCCGCGTCTTCCTAAGCTGTCTGGGTACCGGCGACTGGCAGCCCGGGGGCCCTCCTGGTTTCTCCATTTAACATGAAGTGGAGATTCTCTGCGCCGGCTGGAGGTGTGGAGGGGTCAAAGTTATGCCTTTTCTCAGTGATTATGCCTGCAAAGTGTGTCTCCAGCATCTCTCCAAGATTTCACTATAGGAGGCTCACTTTCTGCTTCCTCCCTCTAGCTGCCATCTTGGAATTCTCCTCCCAAGCTAAGTCTTGTTTAAATAACTGTTCCACTAAATCTCCCATATTCTCTCATAAGCTTAGGAGATGAAGTCATGCTACAGGGAGAGGACCTGCTCCAAAAAGTCTGTCATCACTCACTCCCAACATACAGTCCTGTGCCACATGACAACATTTCAGTCTTTGATGGTCCCATAAAATTATATGACCTAGTGACAATCATGGTCATATTAGTTTGTGTTAAGTACACTCTGTGGTGTTCACATAATGATGAAATCACCTAATAACTAACAGATCTAAATGTACCCTGTCGTTAAGATGCATGACTGATCCAAGCATGGTGGCTCACATGGCAGTTCCAGCACATGAGAGGCTGAGGTAGGACTACGAGTTTGATACCAACTTGAGCTATATAGTAAGACCCTATCTCAAAAAAAGAAAAAGAAAAAGAAAAAAACTTAAGATGCATGAGTATACTTGCCATGATTTGAGTCTGAAAAAAGTAAAAGGATAAAGATTTAAGCTCAAATCTTCCAAATAGTGTAACTTAATTTCTCACAGTCTTTCTTGGTTAAAGAGACAGAATCCTACCAGGATCTCTGACAAAATCCCAGAGGACCACATCTGAGAAACAGGGGAACTAGAAATGGCATGCACGAGATACAGATTGCTTTTGAAACCTGCAATCCAGACTTGACCCAGCTGAGTGTATGATTGATTGATGAGAGCAGCACCTCATGCTGACTGACTAAAGGAAAGGGCTAAGTCCTCTTTTACTGAGGCCTCTATAGTTCCTTTTGAATTGTGTCTAAGATACAATGAAAAAATACTGGACATGTGAAGAGGTGGGAGAACATGACCAAACATCATGAGGAAAACAAACCATGGAAATGGGTCCACTGATGATCTGACATTGGAGTTAGCACATGGGACTTCAGAATGACTGTGATTAACATGACTTTTTTAAACTGAAGGAAAAGATTACAACATAGATAAAAATATGTAGAGGATTAAGAACTGTAAGAGAATAAATGAATATTCTAGAACTATATCATCATCTAGGGGATTAGAAATGCGTGTGTGGTGTGGGTGGTATGTGTGCATGTGGTGCTCGGTGTGTGGTGTGTGGGGGTGTGTGTGTGTGTGTGTGTGTGAGTGACTGCTGAAAACACTGGACTCCATCAACATCACTAGTCTCTTTTGCATGAAAATTGTCAGTTTGTGTTTTAATTAAATGAAAATCCTGAAAGTGGAAAAAAATAAGTGTCCCAGTCTCAGGTATTCTGTTACAGCAACAGGAAATGGGTTAAGCGACCGTGACTTCTCATATTCCATATGTGGGTGTGTAACCAAAAGGACTACATGTGAAAATCCACCAGAAGTCAGGAACAAGAATGTCCCCAGAAGTTTTACTCACCATTGCTCCAAACTAGAGATGTGTCAAATGTTTAGCAATAATGGAATTGACAGATTGAGATACGTTACCTCATAGAATGCTAGAGAGCAACCAGAAGAACCACCACGGTGAATCTTATACACTCATCACAGGCTCAAGTTGGGCAAGAGAGAATATACTGTGTAATTCCTTTCATGAAGTTTAAAAGCTGGGAAAATTCACCTATGATGATAAAGGGATTTTTGGAGATTGGAGGATAAATACCAAGAGGGGCCACAGGACAACCGAGAGGCTGAAAGTGTATCAAAGTGTATCCTGTATCAAAGGATTTTGATACAGGATAGAGATATCATGGTATATGCACATATGTAAAAACCTTCAGAGCCATATACTAAAATTTGTTTAAATTTTAGCAAAAATATGTATAGTGTCACCATTCAGATATGAAAAAATGTTTTAACACAGAATCTAACCTTTCATACTTGAGTTCATAAAATATATAGTCAGAAAAAATTGTTCTGCCAAACAATTAGCCTGTCTTTCAGGCTATATAGATGAAGCATTTTATGATAATGTTATTTTCTTATGTCACATAATATTATCAGGAGATGGAAGTTAAACTGACTGCTGATAAGGGATCAAGGATTTTTTTTCCAACTATTTTCCACTTGGTATAGGGTGCTAAAATTTAGAAGATCTATTATATACAATTCTCACAAAATTTTGAACCTCAATTTTTTGATAAAACAAGAACTAGTGAGGAAAGTTCATTTGGGATTCTGAATTTACCTGAACATAGTATTTTATATGTAAGTCATACATCTGAGGACTTATTTAAAAATTGTCTTATGAATAAGTCACTTGAGGGGTGGTGGAAAGGCTCAAGTGGTAGAGCGCCTGCCTAGAAACCGTGAGGTCGTGAGTTCAAACCCCAGTGCCTCCAAAAAAAAACCCACTTGGATTTTATTTTTACATATTACATAAAAGTGAAATAGTTTGGTATTTTTCTAGTTATCATATAAACTAGCTACCTGTGTCCATAAGAAATTAAGTCCTTAATTTTTAAAATATTTTATAACTTAAAACTAGTTACTTGAGGTCAGTTCACCTATTTCATAACTAATTACTATTCAGGAACTATTTTTAAATAATAGAATGGGAAGTAGCAAGCTGATACATACTGAGCACTGAAATGGTGTATTTTCTTACAGGCAGAGCTTCTGGACGCTGCTGCTGGCATCCACATACGATTCAGGTTAGGTGGAGTAAGTATGCATGAATCCTTCTTTAGTCATTTTAAAGCACATTTTTATTAAATTTAAAAGATGTAATTTTTGAAAGTGTAATCCACTTTTGTAATTGCGTTACAATGGTCCTTTGAACTTTTCCATCCACAGGTCAAATTTCCTCCTGACATCTACTATAAGATTTTTACTCAGAGACCTATCGAAGACTTGTGTGCTAACAGCCCTAGAGATTACACAAAGCTTCCAGCAAAACGCACGAGTCACAATAAGAGTAACCCGCCTCACGAGGAGGACCACAGCAGCTGGTATCGTCGGGTAGAAAACAACGGATGGAGGCCAGTTTGTGACAGAGTAAGGAAAGAGGAATGTTAGGAATTTTTAATTGACTAGGTTAAAAAAATGTCTTTTTGAAAATTAATCTTAATATTTTAAAATAATAATTGCTAGTAATTTAATTGATTAAATTTTCTTCACTACTCTGGGATTACTAACAAACTTTAAGGATAGCCATGTATCATTTTTTTTTCTTAGATTTACTTCTACTTTGAAACAAGGCCTGTTTCAAAGGCCAGATTCTGTCTGGTACTTGGCAGAATACATACTCAGTATACAGACTATGGGATGTTGTGTGCTTATATGGTAAGTATCAAATGTTGAAAGTGATCAAGGTGTGAATTTGTTCATTCAACAAACGTCATTGCATATCAGCCAGGTGTCAGGCATTGTTCCAGATATCAGTGGTAAAAAAAAGATCTTCCCCTTAAAGAGTTTGCCTTTTGATTAGGAGACAGTTAAGTAAACAGGGTACTTTAGTACCCTGCTATATGGTAAGTGGGCTAATGAACAGGTAGTGTTGAGACTGGTAGCAAAGGCTCCTCCTGGAATCTAGTGGATGCTTGGTGAGGGAGAGGGGATGGATTAGAAGTGAGAAAATAGTCTACCCATTAGGAGAAAGTGTCCCTTTCTCTGCTCGCTCTTTGAGGAGGAGTGTCATCAAAAGCTAACAGTGCTTCTTTCTTTGAAAAGCTCTGTTCAGTTCATTTGCTCATTTCTTCATTGGGTCATTGATTTTTGACGGGGAGTTTAGTTTTTTGAGCTCCCTATATATTCTGGTAATTAATCCCTTGTCAGATATATTGATGGCAAAGATTCCTCTCCCATTCTGTGGGCTGCCTCTTCAATCTGGTGACCATTTCTTTTTCTTTTCTTTTTTTATAAAATTTTTTATTGGAATATACTCATTATTGGGGGGGATTTGTAGCGACAATTCTGATTAGGCTTGCACTGTACATTATTTACACTGCCCCCATCATCTCTCCGCCTCAAACCCCTTCCCACCCCACTTAAAGCAACTGCAAGAGGTTTCTAGTTCTGTTTCATATAGGTATATAAAGCCCATCCACCACATACCGTCCTGGTGACCATTTCTTTTGTTGTACAGAAGCTTTTTAATTTCATGTAGTCCCATTTGTCAATCCTTTCTCTAAGTTAACGAGCCATTTGAGTTCTATTTAGGAAGTCATTGCCTATGCAAATACTGTGTGCACATGCATGCAAGTGGAAAAAATGAGACCTGTTGAAACTATTCGAGGAATGGGGGAGAAGGGGATAAGGGAGAAGGTGCAGGGGGTGAATTCAAGTATGATACATTTGATATGTAAGAGTAGGTCAGGTATATCACATGAGAAGATGAGACAGACACTCTTAGACTGTCTACTTATCTATTTGTTCACCAAATACTTTATTGCCTCGGTAAACAAATGCCTTGTCATCTTTCCATGACTTGTGTTTCTAAATCTCAATGCATTATCTCTTACTTAGAAGGGTCTGACCCCTCTTCTAGTCCTATCTTGGCATATTTTCGCTGACCACACAGAAGTTCTTGTCTATAGCGACATAACCTCACAATCAGTACTTCAACACTTATGTATTGGTTTTCACTTCTCTATAGTTCTGGATACCAACTGACAATAAAGTGGTGGAAAGCAAAAAGGAAACCGAATTCCATTTCTCTAAACTGAAGAGAAGGCAAGATTTGGAGAAGAAAAGGAAAATTAGAAAAATAGAATGGATGAGGCAAATGTGAGTAAATGACAGACTTAGTAAAGAAGTACACAGTATTTTAGGAAAAAAAACCTGAAGAATTTATACTACTTGATTTCGGGCTTATAAAACTATTGTGATCACATTTTGATGCCAGCATAAATATAGACACAGATCAATGGAACAGAATATAGAGTTGAGAAGTAGACACACATGTATTGCTACCTGCTTTTCAATAAAGGTGCCCAAAGAATTTAATTTGGAAAAGAGAGTCTTTTCAGCAAATTGGATATTCAAAAGCAGAAAAATGAAGCTTGACTATCAGAACATACATGAAGTTCAAACAGACCATAGATTGAAATATAAGAATAGCCACAAAACATCTTAAAGTAACCAAAGAAATATTAGTGATGTTATTCTGCAAAGATTTCTTAAGTAGGACACAGAAGGCATGAATTATAAAAGAAAATGTTGTTGAACTGAACTCCATCAAAGTTAAAGAGTTTTGCTTTTCAAATGATCTGTTACAAAAAATAAAAATGCAAGTCAGAGACAGGGATAAAAATTCACAAAATATATATTTGACAAAGGTCTTGTTTCTGGAATACATTTAAGAAATTCTCAAACCTGAACCTAATTTTCAAATGCCTAAAAAAGCCTGTTGTACCAATTATTAGCAAGAATTATATATAGTAAATGTAAACTGGTATAGCTACTTTGAGAAACACTTTGTTAGGATTTCTTCTTTGTTTTTGTGGTACTGGGTTTGAACTTGGGGTCTTGCATTTGCTAGACAAGTGCTTCACCATTTGAGCCATGCCCCTACTCCTTCTTGCTTTAGTTTGTTTTTTTGGAAACAGTTTTGCTTTTGTCTGGGGCTGGCCTCAGATCCTGATCCTCCCACTCTGCCTCTTGCATAGCTGGGAATCACAGATGTGCATATCAGTCTTGGCTAGTTTGTTGAGAAGGGGCAGTCTCTCTAATTTTTTGCCCAAGCTATCCTTGAACCATGATCCTTCTGCTCTCTAACTCCCAAATAGCTAAGGTTATAGGTGTGTAGCATAATCCTGGTCTCTTGTTTTGAGACAGAGTCACACTATGGAGCCCAGGCTGGCCTCCAACTCATGATCCTCTTGACTCTGTTCCTGATGGGATTACAGGAATGTGCCACCATGCCCACCACCTATCCAGCTAATGTGTTACAGTCCTAACTCTAGATCACCACCAAGCTGCTTCTTAATAAATGAGTGTCAAGATAATAAATGAATACAGTTAAAGAACAGACCTTTAAAATGGCTACAAAATAAAACTTTAAGCACATAATTTAAAAAATGCTTCCTAGCCATGTGCCATGAGTTTTGGTCAGTGACATACCACATATATGACAATTGAGTTTGAGATTATCACATGATTGTGGTTATTTAAGATTATAATGGAGCCAATAAATTCCTACTGCCTGGTGATGTCGTACCCATCCTAACATCGCAGCACAATGCATTGCTCATATTTATGGTGATGCTGGTATAAACCTACTATGCCGCTTGCTGTATAAAAATACAGTGCATGTAACTATGTCCAGTGCATAATGCTCGATGATGACAATGAACTGCTTTGGGCTTAGGTATTTACTGGTCTATACTTTTACCATTGAGTGTCTCCTACTCATAAGTTTACTCAAAGACAGGGTGCCATGGTACCTCACCAGCAGTCCTACTTCTCATGTTTACTGAGTCTCTTGATTGCATCGATTTCTCTTTCTTTTTCATGTTTTGTTCATCATGGCCCCAAAATACAGAAAATCAACTTCCTGTTGTCAGTAGGTGGCCATATGGAGTGATTGACTTGGAAATGATATAACGAGGGATTAAGGATTACAAAGGTGGAAAATCAGTGCTGGTTATCGCTCGCCAGTCATGCATGTACCATTCCACCATGGTTACCATCTTGAAGAGCAAGAACAAAGTGACAAAAGCTATTAAAGGATCTATGTCATTAAAGGGAATAAGAGTAACATACGTTTGAGCAGATCCAGAATTGAATACCAAGACACAGAGGCACATTCCTCCCAGCATCATGTCAATCATGGCCAAAGCAAAAATTTGTTAATGATGTTGAAAGAAAAGGCTGTAGCCAACTACCATGTTGAATTGACTGCTAGATCTGGGTGGTTTAAATGATTCAAGCACTGTTAATGTTGTGCGAGTTAGTTGTAAATCTAATGTGTTGATTTGAAGGCAGAGGAAGGATTTTTAGAAACTCTAGATAAGCTGATTATGGAGAAAAATTACTTGCCAGAGAAAATCTTCAATATGGATCAAACTTCCCTTTTCTGGAAACAGATGCCTAAAAGAATTTTTAGTCATAAAGAACCAAGTCAATGCCAAGTTTCAGTACTTTTTTTCCTCTGACATAGAGGATTTCTTCTTGTTGTGGGGTATGCGATGGTTAATTTTCATTGTCAACTCTCAACTCAATGGATTTGGAGTGTCCAAGTGATTACTAAAGCATTGTTCTGGGTGTTGCCATGATGGTGTTTTCAGAATAATGAGATCATAAGGGTGCTGACCTACTGAGTGGATTAGACCCTGATGGACTCATAATATAGGGTATTATTGAGAAGTGGTGAAAGATAGGATGTGGGCTAGTTGGACGAAGTGGGTAGGGGGAGGGAGGAGTCCTTGGGGCTCATCTTGCCACAGCCCCTCCCTGTTTTCCCCTTTTCTCTGCTTCTTGTCTGTCATGAGCAGCTGCTTTGCCATGCCCTCCCTCCATGCTGGACTGAAACTATCAGCCAAAGTAAATCCTTTTTCCCTGAAGTTATATATGTCAGGTATTTGGTCACAGTGATAAAATGTAACTAATAACAGAAATTGCTATCCAGAGTTGGGTCACTGATGTGAGTAAACCTGACCACGTAGTTCTTAGGCCTTAGCACTGGTTTGTGGGAGAAATTTGGGAGAGTTTGGAGATGGAGACAGGAGAAATCCTGGAATGCTGTAAGCAGACTTTATGGGCAATTCTAGTAGGAGCTCAGAAGACCAAAATTCTGATAAAACATGCAGATAGAAAAGACTGCTCATGAGGCTTCAGATGGGAATAAGGAAAAGTCCTGGGGAATTGGACTAAAGCCATTTATGACTTTTTAAAGGAGCTCACAGCTCAAAGTTTGCCTTGAGTTTCAGAGGAGATGTTGAATGTGGGCTCTGGATAATGTTGAAACTGTTAAGACTTTGGGGACTCTTGGAGATGGACTGAACATGTTCTGCATTATGAGATGGACATGAGCCTTTTGGGGCCCGGAGTGGAATGCCACAGTTTAAAGTGATACGCTTGGGAGTCAGATTGACAGAAGGTGGACTTGTGATAGCTCATCTTCATTGTGCAGTTTGGCTGGATCGAGAGATGCCTAAAGGAGTGGTAAAGTATTCCTTTCAGTGTTGCTGTGGTGGTGTTTTCAGAGGTAATCAGATCATGAGGGCTCACCATGGGCTCAGAGACATGGACCAAGTAACCATGTACTCAACCTTTTGAAACTGTGAGTCAAAATAAATAATTCTTCCCTTTAAGTTATTTATGTCAGATATTTGATCACAGTGATAAAAAGTAACTGAAACAATTTTTTGAGTAAAATCTATTTGGGAGTCCTTTGGATTTCCTATACCTGAGTATCCGTATCTTTTCCAAGATTAGGGACTGTTTTGTATGTGTGGTACTGGGGTTTAAACTCAGGCCTCCACCTTGAGGCATTCCACCAAGCCCTTTTTTTGTGCTGGTTTTTTTCCAGATAGGGTCTTCTGAACAATTAGCCTGGGCTGGCTTTGAACCACAATCCTCCTGATCTCTGTCTCCTGAGTAGCTAGGATTATAGGCATGAGCCACCGGCACCCAACTGGGACATTTTTATCTGTTTGACTAGATTTTCTATGCATATTCTCTCTTCTTTGCCTTCTTAAACCTCTCTCATTCAAAGTTTTGTTCATTTAATGGTATTCCATATATTTTTGAAGTTTTCATTTTGTTTTTTCTTATCTAAGACATTTCAAAAGACCTGTTTTTACATTAAGAAACTCTTTCTTCTGAGTGATCTTGTCTGTTGTAGAGGTTCTCAACTATATTTTTAATTTGACTTACTGAGTTCTTCAGTTGCAAGATTTGTTGGGGTTCATTTTCATGATCCCTATCTCTGCTGAATTTCTCATATCATGCATGAGTTGTTTTCCTACATTTGTGGAATTACCTGCCTTTATTCTCCTGTATCTCATTGGACTTATTTAGAGTCATTCTTTCTTTGTTAGGTATTTAATCAGTACCCTTTTCTGTAGGGTCTTTGCTGTGGTTGTGATGTTCCTTTGGAGGCATGATGTTACCTTGCTTTTTGAGACTTGGAAGTCTACATTGATATTTGCACACCTGGTCATAGTAGCACTCCCGACTAACTTTACAAGGTGGTCTTTATAATAAAAGGCTATCTGCTGAAGATGTGTCTTAGGATGTCAGTTTGGTAAATTATATTGGTTCTGGTACCATTTTGGCACCCAAATGTGGTCTCCTATTGCTCAGTCAGCTGTAATCAATGGCTTATTATGCAGTACATGTAGCAGTTAAGGTCAAGGAGGACCATGTGGGGTTAAGGGCACTATATCATCCCACATGGGTGGTTTGCACACCCACGTGTGAGGGTGGGGCACCCACTACATGCCCACTCCAGCAATTCAGTGGTGGTACCAGGGATGTGGAGCATGGTGGATATTTCCTCAGGCCCTGCTGGGATGAGTTCCATTGTTGGTAGAGGCTTCCAGCAATGGCACCAGGAAGGCTAGGTGTGGAGCATGAAGGGTGTGTCCCCAGGGCACCAGAGGGCACCCCACTGCTGGTGGGGATTTACAGCAAGGCAGTGGTAGCACTGGAGTTGTAGACTGTGGGGCATGTGTCCTCAGGGGTGAGTGCTGCAGTAGCCTGGGCTCTGAAGACTGGGAGGAAGACAACATGAGATCCTTCTCTGAAGTACAGCTGCCATGCAGACTCCAGGCGTGGGCTTTAAGAAGCAACACTGTGGAACTCTCCTGTAGCTAGGATTGCTGGCATCTGCAACAATGTGATCCACAAGGAATCCTGTTTACCATGCCCCCTGCAATGGAGAATGCCCCTGCCTGGGTATCCAGGGTCACAGTTGCTGGTAATTTATTGCTTTCTATGCTGTCATCCCAGGTGTCCATGTCCTACAGGGTTCCTGTCTCTCCCACTCATTTCAGCATGCACCTATTCTTTACCTTACATTTGTCAGCAAAAAACCCCCAAAACAAAAACAAAAACAAAAAAACTCAAAAGCGGTTATTCATTTATTGTGGGTCTTATTTGTGGAAGAGGCAAGTGCTGGGCACCTCTATTCAACTGTCTTCCCAAGTTCCTCTTCAAGTTTCAAGCTTTTAAGAACTAGGTAATGGTTTCGCTTGCAGGCCATGTTGTAGGCTATACTTGAAACCCTTTGTGATATGGCACAGGGAGAACTCTAGGATCTTCAAGCATATGGATGAACACACACTTCCAGTGCACTACAGGAGAAATAAGAGGTCAGCGATGACCCACTTCTCTTCTAAGATACCCTCTTACATTGCTGTCTTTGTGAAACGGAGAAGTAGTGTATGGGGAATAACATCATTGTCATTTGCTTACGCTGATAATGTTCCCACACATCTTTCTTTTACTGGTGATCTGCATGCCAATATCAAAGTATTTCTCTCTCCAAACACCACCTCTTTGATCCAACCAATGGATCGACTATTGTAGCAGTTGTTAAGCCCACTTACTGAGTAGCTAAGGGAGACATTGAGAAGATACTGATACAATTCTGGAAGGATTGTAAGATCTATGAGTACGTTAAGAATTTTGCTTGGGGTTGGGGTTGTGTCACCAAGAAGTGTATGGATGGCATCTGTAAGAGACACTCAACAGGTTTATTCACATCAACGGCTTTCCTGATGAGAAAGTTTCAAAAATCAGTAAGGGTGTGGTTGAGCTGCAAACAACTTTAACCTGGGCATGTAAGGAGACACTGGGGAGTTTCTAGAAGTGGTTCCTGAGGAACTGACTAATAAGGAGTTGTTGGAACTAGAACAGAAATGCATAACTGAAGAACAAGAGGAACAGAAGGTGGAGGAGGGGGAGGTGGTGGCGGCAGTGGAACCCCCAAGAAAGCTCACAGCGAAGAGTGTAGTTGAAATTTTGCACATGTTAACAAGCTCCTTAAATGTTTTTAAAACTTGGAACTCAACACCAAAAGGTTTTCACTAATAAGAGAGGAATGTTTGTGGTGCACTATCTGCTTACAAGAAAATGTGTGATGAAAAAAAGAAACAGACCAAGCAAGCCGCCATACACATAATTCTGAAAAGAGTGACAGCTCTTCAAGGAAAGCCTCAGGCAAGTCACCAGAACGGATTCCAGAAGGAGGCACTGCTATCACAGGAAATGCATTGTTGCCCCAAAGACCTCTCAGTGGCACAAGATGTAGAGCTGGAGACAGTGATAACTGATGATTGTCAACTTCTGTAGGCTACACTAATGGGTGTGCCTTAGTTTATAATAGAAAAATGGAGTAAACCTTATAGAATAAGGATATAAAGAAAACATTTTTGTACTATGTGTTTGTGTTTTAAACTAAGTTATCAAGTCAGAAAGGCTTTAAAGTAAAATGGTTACTTTAAGCCCAACTACTGAAGAAAGAAAAAATTTAAAATAAAAATTTCATGGCCTAAGTATTTATAGTCTGCATTTGTGCAAATAATGTCCTAGGTCCTTATTTCACTCTCCACTTACCCAGAGCAACTTTTATTCATGCAGGCTCCCTTCATGGTTAAGTGCTCTATACAGGTGTACCATTTTTAATCTTTTATACAATCTTTTTACTATAGTGTTTCAATATTTAGGTCCACAAATACTTACGCTACAGTCACCTTCAGTACTCATTACAGTAACATGCTGTACAAGTTTGTAGCCTAGGAGCAATAGGTTATACTGTATATCCTTGGGTATACAGTAGGCTACACCACATTACCTTGGTTTGTGTAAATACACTCTGATGTTTGCATGATGAATCAGCTAATATCACATCTTTCAGAACATTTCTCCCTGTTAAGCAAGGCCTAATTGTGCTCCACTGTTGTTGGTAAGAACTACTGACTTGTCTCTACTCACTCATGTTTGGTATATGGACTAATGTATGTGTTCAAATAAATATCAGATAGACAGAGTGGCTGGACTTAAGAGCCAAATTTCAGTACTGGCTCGCTCCCCACCTTCATGATCTTGAACAATTTCTTGACTTGTCCAAGTCTCAATTTCTTCATATAAAAAGCAGAAATAAAAACAACTACCACAAGTAGTTGTTTCTTGTTAAAGAGAATTAAAGAAGAAAATGCATAAAATTACCTGGCACAAAGATGCTAACATCTGTCTTCCTTAGGTAAACCTCTTCCTCTCTTCTCTTTCCTTTCTCCCCTTTCTTTCCCTCTCTACCTGCCTCATGACTTTGTAGAAGTCACTAAATTCTACCAGGATTTATTTCCTCACCTATAAAATGAGTGAACTAGCTATTTGGTGATCTCTCCACTCTGTAATTCTATGATTGAGTGATTAAATAAGTTAGTTCTTCTTTGAAACATAAAAATGTAACTTATTGACAGGAGATTCTCAAGTGAGGCCTCTTTGGTTAGTGTCATGAAGTTGCACCCCCCCCCCCCGCCGACAAAAAAAAGCTATTCTGTCACAGGTTTGTTTTAGATGCATGGGAGTTATATAGGATGAAAACATGATTTAATGTGTAGTTGAAACTGTACTTATCAACTGCACTGTACTTGTAATCACCTATTGCAAAGCATTTGTCTCTTCCTTTTCTCTTTTTAGGTACTATGCAGGAAGCCTGGAGGCTAAGGCTACTCATCCAGAAACATTAGGTTTAATTCACACAGCAACAAAAGGGCTAATAAAAAGCATTGAAGAAGGAGGGGTAGATTCGGTGATGGAATGGGAAGTAGACGAAGTGCTGAAATGGACAAATACACTCAACTTTGATGAGTAAGCACAGTATATACATATATATGTATATATATGTGTGTGTGTGTGTGTGTTTATATATATATATGTATCTCTTGGACCCTAAGAATATGTATTTTTTTCTTTCAAACATTTCCCATTCCCATTTGAATCTTGGGACCACAAACCCAGTTTTCAAAAAATCAGTATTATTTATTTAAGCAGAAAAGGAAAAATTGAGATCATAAATAAGAATGATCTAAAATAGAGAAAAGGAAATTAGACATCAGTGTTTTTATTCTGACTTTATTCTTATGCCTTAATGTAACTCTGCTTTGCTATTACTTTGGGATTTACAAATAAGGCTAATTAATTATGAGCAATTAATATAATATATATTATATATACAATAATTAATGTATAATTAAATATATAAGGATACGCTCAGCCTATACTCTGTAATCTTTCCATGTGAGATATTAAATAACTTTTCAATGACATAAATGTCCATTGAAGAACATTTTTTCTGGGCTGGGGTGTGGCTTAAGTGGTAGAGCTGCCTGGCAAGAGCAAGGCCATGAGTTCAAACCTCAGAATCATGCCAAAAAAAAAATCAAAACCTTTTTTAGGATTCTTCATGGTGCAATTTTTAAAAATTTAATGTGGTCACCAGGAAAATCAAATCAAATCAGCACAATCCCTGCTAGCATAACTATAATTAAAAATACAGGTACGTGTTGGTGAGAACATGGGGTAGTGGGAGGTTTCTCACATGGCTAAGCAGAGCTGCCACGTTAACTGGCAGTTCCACTACTAGATTCATACCCAAGAGAAATGAAAATACATGTCCACCCAAAAACCTTGCACATGGATGTTCATAGGAACATTATTTTATAATAATCCAAAAGTAGAAACCCAAATGTCCATCAGCTGATGAATGGGTTATAAAAGCTGCTATATCCATACAATGTAATATTATTGCATATTATTATTCCTTTTAACAATAAAAGGAAGGAAGTTCTGATGCACACTACAATATTGATGAACTGGTAAAGTGAAGGAAGCCAATCGCAAAGGACCATGTATGGTATGAGTCCATCTCTATGAAACATCCAGAATAAGCAAATTTTCAGACAAACTGGATTAGTAGTGTACCTAGGGCTGAAGAATTGGGGAGATTGGGAGGTGATGGCTAAGGGTGTTGGGTTTCTTTTTGGGGAAATAAATTATAGTTTTGAAAATTGTGGTGATGGATTACAAGTCTGAATATACTAGAAGTCATTGAATTTATACACTTCAAATGGATGAATTGTATGGCATATGGATATCATGTGAAGCTATTAAAAACTTCAATAGTCAACAATGAGGAATGTTAAGTATTGCATGAACAAAAGGGAAAATTATGAAGATAATATAAAGAAATGCAAGAAAACGGAAGAAGTCAGAAAGCAGGAGGTAAGAAAATGGAATAGCTAAAAAATCAAAGTGATGATCACTGGACAAAAATATGAAAAGAGAGACCAGAGAAAGCAGAGAATGATGACAAAAGAAAAAGATAAAAGTAAAAAAGGGCCACTCACTTGCAATGCATTACTCAGTAGGCAAACACAGGAGAATCGTGGTTCAAGGCCAGTCCAGGCAAAGTTGGTGAGACCCTATCTCAAAAACAAGCTGGGTGTGGTGGTGCACATTTGTGGTTCTAGCTACTCAGGAGGCCAGGGGTCAGATGATCAAGGTTTGAAGCCAGCTAGGATAAAAAGTTAGTGAGACCCCATCTTAACCGATAAGCTGGGTGTGGTGGTAGGTACCAATCAACCTAACCACAAAGGAGGCATAAGTAGGAGGATCACAGTCTAGGCTAGCTCAGACAAGAATGTAACACCCTATTTAAAAAACAGCCTAAAGCAAAAAGGGCCAGGGTGTGGCCTGAGTGGTAGAGTGCCTGCCTAGCAAGCAAAGGCTCTAAGTTCAAACTCCAGTACTGCCAAAAAAAAAAAAAAAAAAAAAGCTGCGTATGGTACATGCCTGTAATCCCAGCTACATGGGAGGCAAAGTAGAACGGTCATGTTCCAAGACTGGTCCCAGAAAAATGCACAAGAGCCTGTCTGGAAAATAACCTAAAGCAAAAAGGGCTGGGGTGTGGCTCAAGTGGCAGCAGTGCCTGCCTATCAAGCACGAGACCCTCAGTTCAACCCGCAGTACTGCCCCACCCCAAACAAAACATCCTGAGATTCCATCACACTGCAGTGAGAATGGCATCGTCTAGAAACAGACAAGGAGCGTTAGTAGGGATGCCAGGGAGGGGAGGAGGAGTAACGGCAGGGATGTCAGGTAGTGGGGTACCCACTATGGAGATCAGTGTGGAGGTTACTGAAGAAACTAAAAAGAATTAAGATACGCCTGTTATACCGTATACCTCATGTATCTGAAAGAATGTAAGTCAGTACACAATAGAGACACCTGCACTGCCATGTCTACAGCAGCACTGTTCTCCATAGCTAAGGATCAGCCTATGTGCCCAACAAGGGATGAATGAATAAAAGAAAATGTGTGTGTGTGTGTGTACACACACACATAGATGTATATGTGTGTATACATATATGTGTATGTGTATATATGAACATATACACAATGGAGAATTAAAGAATGGCATTACATCATTTGCAGGAAAATGGATGGAATTATGTTAAGCTAAATAAGCCAGACTCGGACAAATAACACAACTTTCTCTCATCTATGGATCTATACCTAAAAAACATGTCAAGAATGTAAAAGGGGGACTCTGTTGGGGTGTATGGAGAAAGTAGCAGAAGGGGGAAGGACAAAAGGAGAGGATGATGGAGGGATGAATATGATGGAATGATTTCATATGTATGTATGAAAATAGAACAAACACTGGAATTGTAAAATAAGGGAGATAAGAAGGAGTAACAGAGGTGGTGAATGTGATCAAAACATTATATGCATGTATGGAAATAAAATACAAGCAAGTTGGATGATCGACATTACCATCTGATGTTTTGGGGACGGTATAGCCCAGCCTGGCCTCAAACTCACAATCTTCCTGTCTTAGCTTCCCAAGTGCTGGTCTTACAGCTATGTACCACCATGCCTGGCCTGTATTTAATTCTTCATAGTGATCCTGAGCAACCACTAAAAGAGAAAGTCTGCCTAAGTTTAACGTTAAACAGATTGAATTGCCTACTAAGATCCTGGAAGCAGTTTATACCATGTGCTGTTGTCCTGTGCCCTTCCATTTAAGTGGTGCAGCAGTACCTCATTTAAGGCCACAAAATAAAATTCATGAAACAAGAGGTAGCAGTAATTAGGAGTCAGCTTTAGATACTCCCTTATTACAATTAAATACTATTGGAATACACACACACACACTGCAAAAAAAATTCTAACCTTCCTCATTCTTTCTCTGCCAGCTTCCTTTCAGCACCTGCTTTTCCTCCATAGGCTTCTGGAACTTTCCCTCATCTCCACAGGTCACCAGACGTTGTCCTTCCCTACTTTGCCTCTTCTCTTGCTGCTCTGTCTACCTGTGCCGGGAGCTGAAGTGTCAGCTTATCTGCCTTCTCATGTATTACAGTTTATATTTTCTGCACATCGCAGACAGCATCGTTATTTAACTAAAACCACAAACTCATGCCTTAAGTTTCCATTGAGATATCATAGGCAGTAGGTCTGGAAATCCAGAACCAAAGGGGAAGTTTTGTTTTTCCTGACTTTTACATCTGAGAATTTTCTGTCCACACTTTAAATTTAAAAGTAATTAGCAGACATCTCTGTAGGCACTCAACTGAGGACATTGCAGGAAGGAAACATGAAAAAAACGAGGAGACGCATGCTGGAGGAAGGCAGAAGGTACCAATATGGTAGGTGGTGCCCTATTTTTATACCTCCTTCAATGCCTTGCCCTGGAGGTTGCCTTAGGTGCATGTGATCTACTGGAAGGTAGGAGATTTGTGACTGTTAAAACACTGGTGAATTTGTCACCATTAAGCTAAGCATATGCTAGTGAATCAACTTACTAATAAGTCAATTTAATTTAATGCCCATATAATATGTTTAGGTATATTACCACCTGGAAGAGAACTGCTACAAGTAACTCTTCAGCTAACCTCAACGGTAGGTGACTTTTAGCAATACTTTATGACAAATTCTCATGAATTCACAGTGCTTCTAAGCACTCAACATTTCAGTACCTTGCATAGTACATAGGTATAAATGAATCTACTGAGTTGTTTTTACCTTTATATATATGGCTGCCATTTGGGAGTAGAAGGAAATTTTTTGTTAAGTTATATGTGCTTTCAGTAATAATTTTTAATGAACAAACTATTTGGCAAAACAAATGCATAATGCTTGAAACATTTCTTTAGGTGCTATGCCACTATTATCGTTCCAGTAGTCAATGACACTGAAAAGCTAAAAAGTGGTAGCCAACAGTTGAAGAAGAGTATCATCATACTCCAGAAATACTGATAATTCTAATATAGCCCCAGACTCATTATGATTATTGTAGGATTTGAGTGTGAGTTCTGTCCTGTGATCCTATGTAAGAAATAGTAAAGCAAATGGCTTCCATTGTGGAATCTATGTTTGATTTTTTGTGTGATCTTGAGCAAGCTAAGTTTATTTGTAAAATAAAAGTAAAAATAGTACCTACTCACAGGTTGTTGAGAGAGAATATTGATAGCTCAGGATATAGTGTCTGGCCCATAACACATACTCCATCAATATAAGCCTAGCCACTTATTTCCTACTCACTGCTATCATCCCAGCCCATGGTGCCATCTTCCCACACAGCTTCTGCAGTGCTCACAAACTGAGGCTCCTCTGCAAAAATGGATAGTGCAGACTGTTCTCTAGCAATTAAAATATAGAAGTACTACCTCAAAGTGCTTCGTAAGATTCACTCATTTGATTTTTAAGGCCATCCAATGAAACAGGTTGTATTATCTACATTTTATGCAGGAGCAAACAAAGATGTTGTGACTTGCATGAAGTCACCCAGGATTTGAAACGGCCAGCTAAGAATCCATTTACTTCCATATCTCCATACTCTGCTGCCTTGCATAGTCTTCTATTGGAACAAAATCCTAAAGTGATCATGGCCTCTGCCTTGGTCTATGACCTAGCTTGCTACACTTCCATGCTCCATTCTTCCCCCTCACTCAGAGCACCCTATCTCACTGGCCTTACGCCTGTCCCTCAACATACAGCTTCCATTTGGGGGTCTAATGGAGTTGATGGTCTTTGAGAGAATAGGTTTAGGCAGGGAGTTTTGTTTACTACAGAAATCCCAATGTGTAGCACCTAGTTGGTTCTCTATGGTAAATCAAAAAATAGTAAAGGGATGGCAGATACAAAAAAGAAAACAGTAGAAATAACTAAGTTATAAAAGATAATTGTGAAAAGAAGAGAGGATACAGGGTGGCAGTTGGAAGGAGCATAAGAAGGAGTGAAAATTACTTTTAAGTGGTGGAGATTTGCTAAGTGAACCCAGTGAAGGTAGATGTTGGCACTGGGAGCAGAATGTGTGCCACCTCTTCACGAAGCCCGAGGGGATCAAGTAGAGCAGACCTGGGAATTTTAACTCTGGGGAGGCAAAAGGCATCTCAACTTGAGAAAGAACAGTGAGCTAACAGTAAACTATGGAGAGTGAGATGCCAAACAGTACGCTAAGTTCTCTTCATGCACCATCACATTTAATTCTCACAAAACAATGAGGAGGTGGTTGCTACTGTCCCAGTTTTATAGATAAAGCTAGTAAGACTCAGAACTTAAATAACTGCCTCAAATCACACAGGCAGTTATTAGCAGATCGAACCTCGGACCCAGGTCCTGCAGAGCCTTTTGTAGAGAAGGACAACGAATGATACCTAGTGGTGAAAGTAGGGTGACTGCAGAAATTTGGGGCATACATGGTTTCTGTTAAATAGTGAGCAAACATACATGTTCCAAGACTGGTGAAAAGGGACATGGAATAGATCTTACCTAGGCCTAGCAGTATATTGAGTCAGTCTATCTTATCACACCTGGCTTCTTCCTAATCCTATGTCATTTCTCTTTAGGTTTCAGGTTTGGGCAAGCACAGAAAGATACATTCAACTATGAAGATGTATCAGAGATGCAAATGGAAGCACCATATGATGCTTTCTATGAAGATGTTTACAGAAAACCAACTGTTACTAGACTGACACCTGATTCCACTTACAGAATATAATCAGACTTTTCTAAGATAGGGCCCTTCCAGCCCAGCATTTGCCAGTTAAAGCAGAGAGACAGATTGCTACTCTGACAATGGCTTGTATATACTTTGCACAGAACTCTAACCCAGTTAAAGGAGACTGAACAGAAATATGACATTAGGCTGAACAGTGTAGTCACAGAAAATACAGAAATTTTTGGTATTCTGAGAGACTGTTGTACTGTAATAGTCACATTTAAAGATATTATATTTAGATGTAAAAAAAATCAGACTGATAATTTTCCTTTGAGGTCTTTAGTGTATTTGCACAAACAGTATGTAAGAGTTCCTTTTTCTCTGCATCCTTGCCACACTTGCTATTACTATTATTATTTATTATTATTAAATAGCAATTCTGTCTGGGGTAATATGGTATCTTATTGTGATTTTTTATTTGCATTTTCCAAATGGCTCATAATACTGAGCGTTTCTTCATATATTTGTTGGCCATTTGTATTTTTTAAGAAGTGTCCAGTTATTTCCCCATTTTTAATTGGATTAAAGTTTTTTAAGTTTCTTACATATTATGGATATTAACCCTTTGTCAGATAAATAGTTGGCAAATATGTTCTCCCTTTCTGTGAGTTGGCTCTGTTATTATTTCCTTTGCTCTGAAAATAAGGAGGCTGCCCTTTCTCCAAAGTAAGTGTTGGGCACATTTGTTAAGAATCAGTGGGCTGCAGGAATATGGGCTTATTTCTAGGGTCAGGCAGTGGTGGTTGCTGTAGCTATGTAGGATGTCCTGAAATCAGATAGTACATTTCCTCCAGTTTTGTTCTTTTTGTTTAAGATTGGCTATTGAGAGTTTTTGTAATTCCATATGAACTTTCTCTTTGTTTTTCTACCTATATGAAGAATGTCGTTGGTATTTTAAGAATTGCATTGAATCTGTAAGCCACCTGGGGTAGTATGGACATTTTAACAATATTCTTCTAATCCACGAACACGGAAGGGCTTTCCAGTTTTTTGAATTTTGTCAGTTACTTTAATGAGTAAAAATCTTTCACATCTTTGGTTAAATTTTATTCCCAGGTATTTTACTAATTTTTGCAACTTATTTTGAATGGGATTGCTTTCATTTTTTTCTTAGATTTGTTGTTGGTATATAAAAATACCACCGATTTTTGTATACTTTTAAATTTGAAACGTCTCTGAATTTTATTATCAGTTCTAACAGTCTTTTGGTAGAATCTTAAGATTGTCCTAAATGTAGACTGATACCTGCAAGCAGGGATAATTTGATATTCTCTTCTTACTTGTATGCCTTTGATTTTGTTGTCTTGCCTAACAGTTGTGGCTAATACTTGCATTACCATACTGAATACAAGCCATAGGAGTGACACCCTCACTTGCTATGATATGGGTTGTCAATTTACCATATACAGCCTTTATTGTATTGACATACATTCCCGCTATTCTTAATTCAGTTTATCACAAAGAGATTGCATTTTATTGAATGCATTTCTTTATATATTGAGATGATTTATCTCCTTCATTCTGTTAATGTGATGTATTACATTTATTAATTAATTTGCATGTATTGATCCATCCTCACATCCCTGGGATAAATACTACTTGATCATGGCAAGTGTTTTTTTTTTTTTTTCCCTTAATTTCTGGTTTTACAAAGAATATAGGTTTATATTTAGCTCATGGTTCTGGAAGTTGGGAGGTCCAAGTCATGGTGTTAGCCTCTGCTCAGCATCTGGTGAGGGCCTCGTGCTATATTTTAACATGGTAGAGGCATCACATGGTGAGATAGAACTGTAAGTTCCCAATACTGGGTCCTGAGCTTGCTAGGCAGGTACTATACCACGTAAGCCACACCCCCGGCCCAACTGATGTTTTTGATGTGTTGTTGGATTCAGTTTGCTCGTCTTTCTTGGAGAACTTCTGCATTTGTGTTCATCAGAGATATTGGTCTACATTTTTTTCCTATGGCAGTACTGGGTGTGGGGGGGTCTTACACTTGCTAGACAGGTCCACTTGAGACCCCAGCCATATAGTTTTTTTTTTCTTTTCTATGTCCTTGTCTGGTTTTAGTATTATCAGAGTAATGCTGATCTCATAGGATGAGTCTGGAGGGTTCCCTCCTTTTCTTATTTTTTTGGGGGGGGGAGGGATAGTTCAAAAAGAATTGGTATTAGTTATTCTTTAAAAGCTGTATAGAATTCAGCAGTGAAACCACCAGGTTTCACTTTTTGAAAAGGAATACATTTTGTCACTGACTCAATGTCATTACTTATTCTTGATTTCTTCCTGGTTCAATTTTGGTAAGCTATACATGTTTAGAAATTTATCCATTTCTTATAGGATTTTCACTTTCATATAGTTGTTCATAACAGTCTCTAATATTTCTGTGGTATTGGTTGTAATGTGTTTTTCATCTCTGATTTTATTTAGGTTTTCTTATTCTTGGTTAGTCTAGCTAAAGGTTTGTTGATTTTATCTTTTCAAAACAATAATTCTTCATTGGTATTTTGTATTGTACTTGTGTTGATCTTCATTATTTTGTTCCTTCTAATTTGGTGTTTGGTTTGCTCTTGCTTTTCTAGCTTCCTGAGCTTTATCAAAACAAGTGTCAAATTTATTACATGATTCTCTGCATCTACTGACATGTGACACAGACTTTATTTAAATTAGGTGATTTTCAAATATCAAGTCAACCTGGCATTCCTTTAACAATACCATTTGGTCATAATGCACTATCTATTTCTTGTTTACATTGATGAAATTGATTTGTTAGTATTTCATAAGGACTCCACCTATGAAGGATACACTGGTCTTTAGTTTTGTATGCTGGTCTCATCAAATAGGGTCTTCTAATATTGTGAAGAGTTTTCATAGAGTTGGCATTATTTCTTCCTTACAAGTAAAAAGCACTAATTCATCAGCTATTTTCAATGCTTCTTGTCATTTCAAACCGTGAGTATAGTAGAGCTGCCTATGAAATCCACTGTCCATTCTGCTTTGCACTGCAAAGGTTTAAAACCTTTGATTTTTCTTTTCTTTAAAATATTTATGACTCATAGTCATGGACATCTAAAAACATTATTTAAGAAGTTAGTATCAAGTTTAGTAGTACTTAAAAAGAATTATAAAGCAATAGTGAACACTCAGAAACTACACCAGGGAACATTAACAGTAGGACACAGAATGAAGTTTCAAAACTGTCAACTGGCTGGGCACCAGTGGCTCATGCCTGTAATCCCAGCTACTCAGGAGGCAGAGATCAGGAGGATTGTGGTTTGAAGCCAGCCCAGGCAAATAGTTCGTAACACCCTATCTTGAAAAAAAAACCCATCACAAAAAAACACTGGTAGAGTGGCTCAAGGTGTGGGCCCTGAGTTCAAACCCCAGTACCGCAAAAAAAAAAAAAAATTGTCAACTGAAGTATATATTTTTCTTCTACAAGCCATTACTTCTTGTACTATCACTCTTAAGGTTAGCATAACATATACAATGTTTTTACTTCCAGGAATAACCTACCCACATCCATTAGGACAGTGACTATTAAAAAACACTCAGAAAATAACAAATACTGGCAAGAATGTTGAGAAATTGAAGCACTTGGGCACTACAGGTGAAAGTGTAACTTTTTTAGTCACTATGGAAAATCATATGGAAGTTCCTTAAAATTTTGAAAACAGAGGAGGTGGAGCAGAGTAGTCATTAAGATCCTTCAGTGATGGTCTCCCAAAGGCACACCAAATTGAACAGCTAATCACACATCAAACTACCCTCACAAGACCCAAGGAAATCATGTAAGAAACCATAATGCCTGCTGTTAGTATAACAAAAAGATGTATTGAAGAAGGCAAGAATCCAGTGTGGTGAGAAATGTATCTCACAAGAGGAAGAAGAAAGAATTATATAGAACTTGCTTTTGAAACCCAATACCAGGCCCAGTCATGGAGAAACCCAGTGCTAGGCAAAGTCCATGAGCCCTTCCCACCAGGCCAATACCTGTAAACTGAGCTGCTGGAACCGTTGGGCACAAATAGAGGTGTGCCTCCACCACTCTTTCAACATCAGGCAGCAGAGGGCGGGGAGAATTAAGACTCAGTCTATTGGAGAGCAGGGCACAAAATCAACAGGCATATAAGAAAAATGTTCAAGCCAACCACAATGATACTTGTCTGTAATTCAAGCTACTCTGGAGGCTGAGGCAGGAAGGATAACAAGTTCAAGGCCAACCTGGCAAACTTAACAAGACCTTGTCTCAAAAAAGGGCTGATGATGTTAAGTCAGAGGTATAGTGTTTACCTAGCATTCATGAGACCCTGGGTTCAATCCCAGTACTGAAAAAAAAAAATTCAATAGCACTAATCATTAAGGAAATGCAAACCCAACCACAATGAGGTACCACACCAGTAGGAATATCTATTATAAAAAAGACTAAAGAAAACACCCTGGTGAGGATATGGATAAAAAAAGAGCCCTTGCACACTGTTGGTGGAATGTTAATTAGTATAATCACTATGGAAAACAGGGTGGAGGGTCCTCAGAAAATTCAAACTGAGGAGGGAAGGTGGCAGGTTTGAGGCACCTAGCATGTTCCTGAATCTCCATAAGACTGGAACAAAACATCAGGTGTGTGGCTATAGGGAGGGGAGCGGCATGGAAAGGCACAGGAGTTAAACAGTAGACAGTAACAGTAGACAGTAGACAGAATCAAGAAATACTGGACTTTAGATCTATAACAGAAAGAACCCTAATATTGGGTACTTTGCACATGGAAGGAAGAAGGGCAATCCCCCTCAGTGAGGCCTTAAGCAAGAGGAGAAAAGCTTCAGTGAGCACAACAGATGCAGAATCTGGCACCATGAAATACTGTGATCCATGCAGCAAGTGGATCTCAAAAAGAGGCTCCCTGAACATTCTAGCTTGTTCATAGGTATCGTGGTGGGGAATGAGCTTAAGAGGGGTTTTATGATCAAACTATAGGGCTGGCAGTAGCAGAGACCCTTGTATTTTTATATCTCCAAGTCCCAACAGTCTACTTCACTGGCTAAGTGAGCAACCACCCCAAGAAATCAGTGTGAACCTAGGAAACTGGCTGTGACTTGGACACAGGTACAGAAATACAGGTCTCTGTCGAAGGAAGTGTGGGCTATGCTGCACAAGAGAGTGGGGGGGCTTGATTAAGAAAACAAATTTTGTTATGTATTTTGCCACAGTTTCATATCATGACTTCACAATTAGTAACCCAGCTATGAACACACATTTATATCATGGCAAGA